GCCTACGTATTTGCAACATTTACCTAGACGTATATTCCGCCCCTGCTTCTGATTGGTATCGGCCGAAACTCGAGCTTCGAACCTATCATACGGGTCGACTTGGTCTGAACCAGGTGCCGACTGACGCTGGTCACACATGCATCGCCAGGTGTGCTATATCGGGTTGAACGCCCGTGTAACTTCCAACTCCATTGGTATTGCATTGTCGTGTGCATCCCAGGACCGAAGTTAATATGTCAGTTAAATCCACTGCAATGAGAGAGAGAGAGAGAGGATGGACGCGCGCGTAGCGATGAGTGTGAATGTGAATGTGAATGTGAGAGGATGTGGCCGTGTTGTTGGAATGGGCCATCTGGATTGGCCACGCATGCGGGCAGAAAAGCAACAGCTCCAAAGAGAGTTGTACGCTTATACGTGGCCGAGGGCGCAACGGCATTGGGTCAACGAATAGAGGCGCCCCCTCGATGGTGCATGACGCCATCCCAAAACACTGCCGTACACTGCCGTATGGTATCGTGCAGCTTGTGTTCCGCATGCAGTAACTAGCTTTGTGTGCCTACCTACGTATAGGTAAGTCAGGTACCTAGAGGTAGGTATTAGATACGATCGATCGATACATTGAGAGCCATAGGAACAGACGACTAATACGTATCTGCATTCGGACCGCCGCCCACGCGCAACAGGATGCGGCTCAAGTATGCTGCGCGCACTGTGGCTAGGTCAGGACCATGAATGACTCTGAGCAAAATTGATCGATAAGCATCCGCGCAAGACGTCAGTCACACCAAACCGGGTCAGAGGAAATGGATTGAATTAGGTACAGGAAACAGCTCACACAATGCACGTGTATGCCGTACATGTGTCTTCATGGGCGTACGTGTACGGATACTTGGTACGATGATAGTATCCGTACATGCTGGCCCACAGCTGCAAGGTACCCGGATTTGTGCAGTTGGTACTCCGTACTGCGTAGTTAGTTGCAAAGTTGTACAATCACCAACGTCGTAGGCAGACAGGCATGACCTGTTCCATGGTGGAACCCTAAGGACGTTGAGAGCCGAGCCCTGGCAAATACCCTGGCTGGCCCCTCCCGATAGGCATGAAAGGCTAGGTAATTGACAGGCACACAAGGCTCATGAAGTTCAGACAGCATGCTGTATTTATTGCAACGGCTTCCTCGCCTCTTTTCGCTGCATGCTAGGTGGGTGTGCTAGTACGGATAGGAGAGACGGACAGACCTCTCTGTCTCGTACCGTAGTACGTACGGAGTAGTAAGTAAAAAAGCTACGGATATAGTGTATACCCTGCCTACCCAGGCAGGTGGTGAGGTACCTACATTACCTACATACCGGCTTACCTACCCGTACTACTACTACTACCTACCTACGCAAGCTGCTCCCGGGCCGCCGTCACCCCTTGTCCGGGTTAATCAATGTGCAAGCAATGTGCAAGCAATGTGCAATGCAATGTGTGCAATGTTCTAGTAGTAGGTGTCTATCCATAGTAGGGAGGGTAGGTACAGATGTGAAGTCTCCATCCCTTCTTATGCCTGGAGGGGAACGCAAGGAACGCGAGGATAAGATTGTCAAGAGAGGAGGATCCTCCCTCGTCGTGGGGTCTCTCTCCTCTTCTTCTCGTCTACCAGATTGATTGCTAACCCTTTTCCCCCCTCTCTCCCTCCATCCCATCTCATCCCATCCCTCCTTCTCCCTTTCCCCCCTCCTCGTCGTCGTGTGTTCCGCCTGCCGACGCCGACACCCGCTGATCGTTACTTTTTCCCGTCCCTCCTTCTTTTGCTTCCTCCCTTCCTGGCGCGTCACCAGTTCGACATTGAATCGTCGTTGCGCGTCTCTTTGCGCGACATCGAGTGCTCTCAAACTGGAGGACCCCTAGGCCGAGAAGAAGAAGACTCGGAGAAGATCCCAGCAAACAGCCCGAGAGAGCAGATCAAGAAAGGAATACCTACCTGCATTTGTGTGCTTGAAGACGTAACAATCTCTCTCACTCATTTCTTGGTGCCTTGCTTTTCTCCCTTCCCCAGGCTGGTTCAGGATTCTTCTGCCTCTTGTTCCCTTCTTTTAATCTGCCCTATTCTTCTGGCCCTAGGTACACCGGCACGAAATCGCTACAGGTATCTTGCCTGCAGCCAGCTGTACCCGACCCTCATCCCCTCACTACGAAAACTCTTTGCCCATTCTGATTATTCTATTACTTATTTTTTGATTCTACTTGCGGCCTTTTTATTTTTCTTCTTTTTTCTCCCGGCTTTTGTTCGAGATCCTGCGTCGCTGTGGTGCGTCGTCTCCGCCACCGCCGTCACTCCCGTCTCGGCTTCTCACCGACGTCAATTTGGCTTCCCGACCGTTCGGCTTACGACCACTGCGAATTACCACACAACACACGGGTTGTTCCTGAGCTATCCATCATCTCGGAGCTACTCCAAAGGCTAAAAAGAAGTCGAGAGTCAGAGAAGGGTTAGCCCGACGGCCACCCACGGTTCAAACCGCCGCGCGCCACTTGGTACTACGCACCGCCTGCGCGCCCGTAATTCGACCGTACCGTACCGTACCCTACGTACCCTAGGATACGATACGCGGATACCTCCATCCATCTGAGACCTTTGCTCTCCACGAACACGCCGGCTCATTGCTTTTTCTCTCCCTGGCATCGTTCGCCCGCGTGCCGCGTCTCACGGAAAACGGCAGACCTTTTCCTAATAATATCATTGTCTTATTATTTAGTACTTGTTTTTCCCTCCCGTCGACACCGACCACCATCCGACCCCCACCCCCCCGGCTTATCTTTTTTTTTTTTTTTTTTTTTTTTGCTTGAAGGGAGTTTCCAAGCATCGACGTTTTATTTAAGCTTCCTTTCATCCGGATCTTCTTCAGGTCATCTCATCAATACGTAAGTGTCCGGGCGTTTCTTTTTTTGCACGTGGAGGGAGCACTGTGACAGCGCGCGCGCGCGCGAGAGAGAGAGAGAGAGTACAGAGAGTACAGAGAGAAAGCAGCAAGAGTCAGAAAGAAAGAAGGGAAAAAAAAAAGACGTAGGAGACCAAAGAGAATATAGCGCCAACCTGAACTTCTTCTAGTGCAGCAAGCAGCAAGAAAATCGACCTAGGCCGGAAAACAAGGTGCGGGCGCGTTTAGCTCATCCCGGCCGTCTTAGCTGCACCCTCCCGTCAGCAGCCGCAGCAGCAGCAGCAGCAGCGAATCAAGCCAAAACAACACAAAGCCGACAGGGCACCGCCTTGCTTCCTTGCTCTTCTCTTGCTGGGTCGCGTAAACTTGGAGAAGTTCAGGTAGGTACGGAGTGTGGCCCCATCTTCCCCCTGCACGACAGACGGACAGAAAGCCACCTGAGCACATACATCCATCCCATCCATCGGCCTGCGCCTGCAAGGAACCACTGGGGGCCGCATTCTTGTCAACAACACACCTCCCGTCTTCAGCGGAGGGGGGGAACACAAACAACAAAGTCCAAGTCAACAAAAAAAACATCACACACCCACCACCTCCCCTCGTTCCCTCTTTCCCACCTACTTCTCTTTTTTTTTTCTGTCCTTTTTTTTTCTTCTGACACCCTTTCCGACCAGTTCAACGACGGCGACGACGACGACGACGACGACGACGACGACGACAACCTCAATTCTTCTCCCACTCCTTGTCTCCCTTTTTTCTTCGTTTTTGACACCTTCTCCTCTCGCTTACTCTCTCGCACCAATCCGCTCGCTTTTCGACATATCCCATTCCCCTCGTTACGTCGTGTAGACGGGCAGCCGGCTCTGCACGCCCCGCGCTTGCGTTGCAGTCATCGGCCCATCCCTCCATCCCCGTTGGAACTAGGTACCTCCGCATACCTCCACTACCTACATAGCCTTTGCGTGACTCGTTCGACAATCGCGACCACCGGCTTTCCACAACCACGAATCAATCCTCCCCGGATTCACGTACTGGATGTCGCCGCAACGCGTCTGACGGCGGCATCCCCCATTCTTCCCCATCAACATGGTTACCTCACTCGCCGCTGACAAGCCCCATCTGCCGCCCGCTGATGCGGATGCGAACGACCCCTTCATCTCGCCCCCCGGACATGCCCATCACCGCTACTCCGCCTTCGATAACGAATCCTTTGCCCT